ACTGAGAGAAACACTGAGAGAAATACTGAGAGAAATACTGAGAGAAACACTGAGAGAAACACTGAGAAACACTGAGAAACACTGAGAGAAACACTGAGAGAAAAACTAAAGTGCTGTAAAATAATATTTGTTTAAGTGAGCAGGTAGGTTAGAGATAAACACTGGTGGTCAGAAAAGTGAAAACACTATCGTAGCTTAGGTTGGTTCCACTTTGAGGAACCTAGGCAGTAAAAAAAAACGGACTTAATAAAACAAAAGTTCGAAGTTTTCACAAAGGATTTTCAATTTTTTAGAGAAATAGATAATTGTTTGTTATCATTTAATCATTTAATGCTAAAATGTCCAAGAGTTCAGTTTTTGTGTACCCTTCATAAACCCGACTGATATAATAACACGAAAATCCGTATTTTTAATTATTGGTCTTAATAATATTATTAGCCTACTTAGGTCTGCATTTTGTTGATCTCTTTTTTTAATATTTATTTTTATTTTTTGGTCAAAAAACAACAATTGTATATTTTTAATTAACCTTGCTCCTAGAGGGCACACGGTTGAAATAAACAGTGTTCTGTTAATATTTCTTGCAGACATATTGTTATAGTAGATACCAATGTTTCTTTTTGTATGAACCTCAGATGAAAAGGCATGAAGCAGATTGGACACTCTTATAATATCTGCAGTTAGAGGTACCTTTTATATTTGTTCTGTGTTTAGGGGTATATTTTGTGGTTGGTCCCTGTTRAGMGGCACAAAAATACCACAGTGAAGTGTTTAGGGTATAATTTTCCACCCTGCAGAGGTCAGTGTTTAGGGTATGATTGGGAGGTCTTCGTTCACACCTGCAAACATTAAAAAGAATAGAAGTGGGCCCCTCCCGGGCTACTGGTACCACATAAATGAAATCACCTGCATCCAGCAGAGAGACGTGTGGTTCTGTTGCTCTACCGTCATTCCTCCACACAACTTTACTGGTCAGTCATCAAGGGTGCTACAAGAWAAAAATGGTTGCCCCACCAGTTTGATCCTATCGAGTCTTAAGCTTTTGCATTGTGCTCATTTTTAAAACCCTATAAATAATTTTAAAAAGTTTTTGAAAAAAGTAAGAGTTAAATATATATATTTTATTTAAAATAAAGAATAAAACTTAGTCCCAGTCCCTCTAATAAGAACAACAGACGTCCTCAACATCAGGATTAAGGGTTTAGAGGTCATCTCAGAAGAGAGGGTCTTCATGCTACACTGTGTTTTGTTTCCCACCAGYGAAGCTCATTCAATTCAAAATGTTTGGAATCATGTGGAGTTCTAAGCTTTAAGGTTTATAATTCAGAACAGAAGTCCAGTTGTTTTGTTTTATAGCTTCTCAGGTGTGCCTCAAATTACATCCACAGGTGTGTCTCTAATTAACCCAGATATTATCAATGAACCTATCAGAAGCTTCCAAATACATGACATCACATGTCCAAAATTGTTTGARGGCATAGTAATCTTAGTGTGTTTAAACTTTGACACACAGCTGACAGTGTGTGTGTTTCTGGACATCCTGCTGCTCGGAGCACTTGAAGAGTTTCTCCAACAGGTCAGATGAGGACGAGCTCAGAGCTGCAGCAGGTTCCACAGGACTGCATGGAGGTGGATTAACAACAGTGATGAACTTTGATTTGACAAAAATAAAAACATAGACCGTTCTTCTGTTTTCAGTATAAAATGAAAATAGATTAACCATCCATTTTTTGTGTTTCAGTATCTGCTTTAAACATAAAAAATTACCAAATAGAACACCATTAAAGTGCCTGTGACATCACATTTTTGTAATCCATATGAATGCATTTTTAGAAAGAGGACATTGATAAAATATTGTGAAATAAATTTCACGTCACAGAGATGAACAGTTGTTGAGATATTTGCCTGTGAAGTAACAGGAAGTGATGTCATAGGGGAATGTCTGCATGTGAACAGAGCTTTGCTAAAATGGTAGAGAATAATCTGATGTTTCTTTAGATTATTTTGAGTCTCTATCAGAGAGAGATAAAGGAAAAGTCAGAGTTCAAATAACATTGTTTCAATAAACAAAGAGCAGAGAGTTTTCTTTGTTAAAGAG